TATTATTTGTTTCTTTGGTTTTTCTTTTGGTACCGGGATCGAACGTGGGACCTTGCGCTTTCGAGGCAGGTGGCAGAAGCGCTGAACTAAATCCCCAACCCTGCCCTTTATTATTTGACAGCAACTGACTTGCGGTACAGGCTCAGGAAGTGTGGGGGTGAGCGTGGGGAGAGCCTTTCTCACTGTCAAGAGACTTCATTTGTGGCCTTGGCTGCTCACCTGAAAATAGGTCCCCAGCCGTTCAAAGCTCACAGGACAGTGTCTCACACAATACCGTGCTTGCGGTTAGTTCTACAACTAACTCCCAAAGTTGCTAGCACTTCCCTGTTGCACTCCAGAAGCAGTTCCCCGCCTGCGCAGGCCCTCTTGGACAGAGCCCAGTGCCCTCATAAAGCTCGTCTGGACGAATAGGCTCAGGTTCCCACTGTTGACCCCAAACCTGTCACAGGTGGCATGCCGGGGCAGGGGGGAATGGGGCCCTGGGTCTGCCGAGCTCCTGTAATGGGCACTCAACACAGAAAGGGGTGCGTGGGGAGGGCCAGGCAGGAGCGACCTCTCACGGGCTCCCTCTTTGCCTCCTGGGACCCAGAACCCCTGGTTTCCTTTACTATGTGCCTCTCGTGAAACCTCACATGGTTCCCTGTCACAGGAGGGAGGGGTGAGCCGTGTGGGGTACACCACAGAGCGATGCAGCACCATGGAGCTTGTCCCTTGCTGAGGTCCTGCCAGAGGGACACTAATGGCCACAGCCAGGACATGTCGCTGGCTGGAGTGAGGACATGGACAGCAGCGAGGAGGGACAGACTTTGGAGCATCTTTGCCCTAAAGAGGGGCAGAACCACATACTAGTGGGGTGGCTGCCTGGGGTTCAGGGAGGGTTTTGTTAGAAGCGGGAGCTAAGCCGGTCAGTACTGCATAAGGGGAAGTGGAGACGCAGAGCCCGCAGGGACTGGGAGAATGGGCCGTGTGCTTGCTTCAGGGTGATGCTCTCTGCTCAGTACAGTGGAAAGTGACATCCTAGGGAGAGGCGTGGACCATGGGAGAAGCAGAGATGACAGCGGCCTCCAGGAAGTGGGGAAGGGGTCTCCTGCCGGAGTGTGCCCAGGGTGCAGGGCTAGAGGCCAGGTCTCGGAGGGCGAGGAGCACAGGTCTGTGTGCTGCTGTGCCATGCGGGCCCAGTCAGGGAAGATGGACAGGAAGGGAGCAGAGGGGAGCTTGCAGCATGAGTGTCAGGCCTGCCCCACTGGGTAAGGACAGAAGGTGGAGGTGCATGGGTGACCAAAGCTCAGGAGGGTCGCTAGTGAGACACCAAGCGGGAGCCAGTGGAGGCAGCTGGGGACTCCGCCGGCGGCAGCCCTGGGGAACAACTGTGAGCAAGGGTGGCTGAGGTGTAGGGAGGAAGCACGTGGCAAGGGACAGTAGGGGTAGGAGCCAGCAAAGAGGACTGGGAGGCCACACAGGTGAGGGCAGGAGGAGCTGTGGGCTCTGGGGTGGGCAGTGTGGTCCCAGGGGCAGCCTCCTGTAAGGAGGAGTGGTCTGCAGGTAGTGAGCACTGGGCAGGGCACAGAGGAGGCCGGGTTTGGCGTTCATAACACCCCTCTTGGAAAGGGTGCTAAGGGAGAGTGGGCTTCATTCAGCACACTGTGTCTCCAGCCTTCCGAAAAAGAGACACTGGCATGGGGGAATTTGTACCACATGGTGAGAATTCCAAAGGCATCCATGCCAAGGGTGTGGGAGGCGGAAGAACAGAAGAGCCGGCCACATCCCCAGGGGTCCTGATGTCCGCTGAGGGCAGAGGGTTCCGTGTGTGGGGACGATTCTCAGAGTCTCGGGATTCAACCACCTGGTGCCTGGAGCACCTCCACCTCTAGAAGCCTGATAACTGGACGTGTCCTCAGTCATGGCCAGGTGGCCCCGGGCAGGCGTGCCTAGCTCAGACCCAGTGGAAACACAGAGGCACTGCTGTAGAGGGTGCCGAGGAGAGCCAAGTAAGTGCTGTGGGGCGGAGTGCTGTCTCCCAAGGCAAGGCAAGGCGTTACTTCCGAGCGTAGACAGCTTCTTCCACGTGAGCCGGAAGCTTCTTTCTGAACCCTGAATGTTGGGTGTGCATCTGCTGGCCTAGCGAGGTGCTGGGCGAGATTGTGCCTTGGTTTCTTTCTAGGCAAATTCAAGGCACGTGAGCCGGTGCTGAGACTACAGTGTGTTTCACCTGAGTGCCCTGGTGATTCGCAGAAGCCTCCAGGTGCAGACTGATGCACCTGACTGTGTGAGGCTCCTTCTCGACCCTGCCTTGTGGAGTCTTCTTCATCGACTAGGATGGACAGACAGGGAATGCCAAGAAGGCCGAGACCAAGTGCTGCTCGAACACAGACAGAATAAGAGTAGAATGAAAGCCTTCTCTGCGGCACAGAGTTTAGGTTATGAGCACCTCTTGTTTGCCTGGAGTGCAGGACAGGCAAGGGACAGGGAGAACAGGGAGCAGCCCTTCAGCTGTCCCGGGGAGCAGGAGTGCTAGTTAGGTTCTGAGAGACAACAGCAGAGGCCCAGCTGCAGGTCTGCAGTTCAGAGAGGTGGCATGTTAGCTTGGAAACAAGTGTCACTGACTCCAGGTGCCAGAAGGAAGGCGAGGGAAGGACAGATGCAAACAGACGCAGCCTGTCCCCTGGTGAGGGTACCCGAGGGACAAGGTGGACAGATGGAACTGTGGCCCCAGGCAGCAGGGACAGCTGGATTTGCCTGTCTTGCTCTTCAGCCTCCACTGTCAGAGCTGAGCCCTCCCAGGATGGCACAGGCATGGTGACCCTTTCTTTCCCGTGGCCTGGTACCAGGCCTAGCATAGAGAGGACAGGTCAGAGGCTGATGGCTTGAAATCAGGGCAGAAAATATTGAAAATAAACAAAAATATTTGCTGTAGGGCTTGAGCACTGAATAACACACAGAAGAGTTGTTTCTGGATAAAGTAATGATCTTGGGGTCTCAGACCAGACCCCAGGGTCAGCCTGTGGTTTCTGCACACTGAAATGGCACAGAAAAATTACACAGCCACACCCCCAATGTCTGTATGGAGGGTGATGGAAAAATACGGTGAATGTGTAACTTAACAACCTTATTCCAGTAAAAGACACATTACCAAGAATAATCAGTTAAGTGTGTTCACAGTGAGAGGGAGTATTTTCAGGGTTCATGGTATCGTGTCTTTTACTGTAATAAATATTTTCATTTAAACCTTCACCTTGTTAATCAACCATTTATAACAGCGCCTGTCAAATTAAGATGTAAGGTCTGCCCTCATCCACCTGACTCACTGGGCCTGGCCCCCTGCGACTGCTGGCGCATCCCCAAAGCCAAAATGACATGAAAGGCCAGTGTTTTTACCGATTCAGAACATGGTGCCCTGAAGACACGGAAGGGCCTGCAGAGCTGCTTCAGAGGTGAGGGGAGTATCTTGGAGGAGGTGAATAGCGATGTGTCTCTTACTGTGATTTTTAAATGTAAACATTTACCATATTTTTTTATTAAGTTTATTGGTACATTTTAGGCATACAATACAACTACATTTGAGAAAGGGGAAAAATGGATACCATGTTTTTAATCATAGATCTCGTCCAGTGTGGTATTTAAATTTTTGGGTACATGACCAGGGATTTAGCTCAGTGGTGCCGCTGCCTGCCTCGAAAGCACAAGGTCCCGAGTTTGATCCCTGGTACCCAAAATAAATAAATAAATTAATTAATTAATTAATTATTGGGTGCAAACCAAGACTTCAGGAAGCTTAGCATTATGAAGCCTGGGATGACCTAGAGCTGGAGGGGAAACAGCCGTGCATGGTCCAGCTGGGCAGCAGAGCCCAGTCAAGGGCAGGTCTGGCTTACATGGGAGCAGGGCAAGTGGAGAGGCTGAGCCTGTGAAGAAATGGTGCCTTCAGGGAACATCTTGAACTAGGGGGATTCGGGACAGCTTGCTGGACGTTGGGTGAATGCGCCAAGGGGGTAGACCAGATGTCTGGTGTGGAAAGCCAGGAGTTGGGCAGAAGTGGAAAGGAGCCAACTTTGGAGGAGGGAGCATGAGGGAAATGGTTGGTGCCCAGCCACTGTTGCAGCGCCCTGAGGCCCAGCTGTGGCTCTGGTTTTCTCAAGGATGATCCTGCAGCGTTTAGAGAGTACCTGATGTGCACTCAGTGCTCGGAAAGTAGCACTGGGCAAATGCAGTGCAGTGCTGCACCGAGCTTTTAGAGTCATGAATCAAGATGGCTCCAGAATCGGAGGCACACGCTGCCGGGCTCCTCCACTTAGCTCCATGACCTTCTCTTTTGTAAAGAAAAATAATAAATGGAGTTTGGCTCACAGTGAGTTAGTATATTTGTGCACTGGTTTTTAAAAAAATCTTTCTAAGTAGCTTCAGTGAATCGAAATGGGCAGGTCTACTTTATCAACTTCCAGACACTGTTACAGGACATTAGCAAAAGAACCAGCATTTATGAAGGGATGTAATGGTCATGTGCAGTGTTTGGGATGAAAAACAAAGACTCAGAAACACCTCCTCTCCTGTGCACCCACAGAAGCAAAATGGTTTATTTAAGATGATGCTTTCCTATGAATTCCTGAGTGTCTTTATTTCATTCCTGACATGTCAGGCTAATTACGGGGAAAGAAAAATAAACAACTACAAAGCATAAGCTCACCACTTCGGTGTTCCGGAGATCTTGGGTTCTGAACGTGACTGTCTAGGACTCGAGCCATGCAGAGTAGAGAATTTTCAGTCTCCCTAGGGTCAAATGGTGCCAACAAGTGCCTGCTTCTGGATAGCAGGTGTCGCATGCCAAGGAGCTCCCTGATCTTCACAGACCAAAGGCCCCAGGCCTCCAACCCAGTGGTCTGGTGATGGGGATCATGTGCGGGGCCGCGCATGATGTCAGAAGAGCATTGCTTGACTGTTGTTGCAGGCCTTCTTTCTCCCGTGCTTACCTTTGCATTCTTTTACCTTTTCCGGTCCGGTGGCAGACACAGGGCTGGGTGACTCCGTGTGCTCCAGCCCAAGTATCTCCAGCTCCACCAGCCCCAAGCTCGACCCGCCACCCTCCCCCCACGCCAACAGAAAGAAGCACCGGAGGAAGAAAAGTACCAGCAACTTCAAAGCCGACGGGCTCTCAGGCACAGCTGAAGGTAAGGAGTCCCGGGAGGCCAGGGGTGAGCGTCCGCACTCATGAATGTTCCTCGTTGTTCCAGTTTGTAAAGTCATATCCCTCAGGGCCACCGGTGAGCAGACACATGGCTCACCTCGTGTGCCGCCCGTTTGTGGGGGCACAAGAGGGCCCTGGGATCTCCTTCTCTTCCCTGGCTGACTCTCTATGACTCAGCCAAGGCTGTGGTCTCACTCCTGTCCCTGGGCGCTGGTAGATGGAATTGCTGGCTCCCACAGTGTCCTGTTCAAGTTCTGTAGCCTCACCCCACCTGGTACCCTGGGCCAGAGCATCCACTCCTAGTGAGGGGTCTGTGTGATGCATCAGCCTCCTTTAGGGCTCCCTGCCACTGGCTGGACTTAGTTCTCAATAAGACAGCTGTCTGCACTCTGGCTTTCGGCAACACGTTATGGCAAACGCCCCTTCTGCTAGTGCCTTTTCACTTTTTGCTCCATGGGTGCTGTAGCATTGTAGCTATGAGTTTGTTTGTCTCCATTCTCCTTTGACTTGTTGAGTCCTTTGTGTCCATGATCACAGAATGTGATCTTTCTGAAGCGGCTCCTTCAAATGCATTTATACTTTTTTCCCACAGATGCAAATGGAGAAGATATATGCATGTGCATACACACACACACACACACACACACACGCCCACATGAGGAGAGGTAAAATTAATGCAGCTGTAATAAACAAGGTACAGAAACACTTCAAAGGAAGATTAAAATTTCGAAACAGTTTTGTAACGTGAATTAGTGTTTGTGAGAGTCTGTCTTCAGCAAGCATTCCCTGTCCTCAGGCGCTAGCTTTGTTATGTCCTTCCTCTTTCTCTGTTTTCACTGTGCTTTTCCTGAGAACTGGGTAGTGTGTCCCAAACTCCAAGGTGTAAGATGCTGGCCCTGTCCAGGGAAGTGGCCTGTTCCCTCCTGCATCTGGAGGCAACACTGAGTGGTGTCCCAACCTGTGTGAGGAGCCTGTGGACCAGAGCCCCCTGGCTTACCGTCTTCATGGGCCAGAGGCCTTCTTGCTCCTTCACCATAGTCCTTCCTGCCCCTCCAAGCCTCCTGCTAAGAAGGCTGACCGCTGAAACCCGAGTTCTCAGGTCATGCTACTTGAGGGCGATTCTCCTGTACAGTGGCCCTTGGTGCTTGTCATTAATTGGTTCTGAGAAGCAAGGTGAGCACCAGAAATAACAAGCACCAATCCAGTTGTTTTGGCTGGGAAGGTTAGCAAGGCACAAGGCAGTCGACACTGACAACTTCCAGCCTGCGTGCAGAGCACAAAGCCGATGACAAGAACTGAGACAGAATTCTCAGAGCAGAGCGTCTGGAGCCCAGGCTTGATGCACCTGAATTTTGACATCCGATTGTAACGGCAAGAGTAGAAGATCATTCAAGGCCAGCTGGGGCTGCACAGTGAGTTTGAGGCCAGCCTGCTACCAAGCAAGACCCTATCTCAAAACCAAAAACAAAAAAACGTAGAAAACCATGATTATGGGTCAGAGCACCCACCAGACACCAAAGCCCTTCCTGCTGGACAGGATTCTTCGGCTCAGATGCCGCGCCCTGATGAGACCCTCACCCAGCGCACCCGCAGACCCGGCACACGCGACCACAGGGCGCAGGAGGTTTGGGGTCCAGCGTGGCCTCCTCCTGGGCGGCCATGTTGCCAGCACTCCCGCTCTCCGGCACGTGCAGGGCACAGAGGAGGACTTCCTGCCTGTCCTCACAGATCAGTCTCTCCCAGTGTATGCCACGGTTTGCAGGTGGTCTGTGGCTGTGTTTTAAAGTCACAACCTGGTGGAAGCTAATGTCCAGGCCTACCTCTAACAGGTTATGTACCTTTAAATCTTAGCCCGCTCACGCACTGGCTGTGGGTGAGACGGAACCCTACTGCACGTTAGGAGGAGTGTGTTCAGCCAGCCATGAGTTTGAAGGAAGTTGGAAGGGTGGCCGTGAGCCTGTTGGACCCCTGGGATACCCTGAGTTTACTTCCTGAGCTCATAAAGCTGCCCAGTGTGCACCGGGATAGCATGTGACCAGGTTGGGACAGAGGACCCGGCTGTCACAGGCCCCCGTTCATTAAAGGTGCCACTGCTAAGATGGGGACACAGCAGAAAGGCAGGCACCAGGGAAACAACCGAATTAGAAAACCACTCCAGGGCCCCCTCATGGAGGAGCGAACGGGTGACGGGTTCAGAAGTTGCAGCCTGGGGCCCAAGGGGGACCCTCCCTTGCTTTTCCTAGTCACGTCTTTCCAATCAAAAAGAAGTGGTAAGTTCTTCATGCAAAAGTGTCATTTTTCCCTGAGGAAAGTTGACGAATGAGGCATGAGTCAGCTGCCGAGCACCCTGTTTCATCTCTCTAAGGCAAATTTTCCCCCACATTTTAACATTTCTAAGATCAGGTTGTCGCCCTACCATTGAACTCATTTTAGATTCAATAATGTACAAGATTTTTCCTAATCTTAATCACTCTCGGCTCCTTAAAGTGCACTGTGTAAATCACCCAACTCAAGGTGTTCTTGAAATCGAAGAGGGCTGTGTGTATTTTGCCTTTGGAGGATGCAGTTGAGCTCTGTGAAGGGATTTCTGTTTCTCGCTTGCTCACCGGTGGCTCCTGGTGTGGTCTCTGTCACCTGGCCTCGTGCTGAAATCCCACAGTTGGAGACGGCAGCAGCTCTACAGAGGGTGGGTGCAGTTGAATTTTGTGGATTTGATCTGCCCTGTTGGAACAAATGACTAGATTCAAATCTCTGACGAGTGGAAGAAAAATGAAGTCTTGTCGGCTGTCAGCTGATGCACTCAGGGTCCTGGGGACACTGATGGTGGCCTGGAGCTGCCACTGTACTGCGGAGTTCCCCGGGGCTGTGTGCCCGGGTGTAGGGAGAGGGCAGGTCTGGGGTGGAAGTAGGAGGAGAGTGAGAATCTCCGTCAGGAGGGTGTGACCTGCAATGGAGGGACGTGTCCAGCTGGTGACCCAGAGGCCAAGGGAACCCCAGGGGATGCTCTGGCCCTATGCTCCTCCTCTCCCCATTCCTGTGCCCTGCCTTGACCAGGTCCAACACAAGCCAAAGGGCCCAGGGGGTGGGGGCCGTACAAAGGCCCTGGGGCCGGTCACCCGTGCCTGGGGAAATACGAACTGCTGCTCGTCCTTCACAAGAACTGTGGACATTCTGGCCCTCTGGGCAGGGGTGTGTACTGTCCGTGGCTGCCTCTTCTGGGGTCCCCAGGGCTTCCTGCGTGGGCCTCAGTGCCATCCCTGGGGCCCGGAAAGCAGGCGAGCCCAGGAGCCAGCCCTGCTGTGGAGGGGCTGGGGGGGTGGTGGTTGTGACGAAGGATGGCCCCAGGTGTGCTCAGGTGTGCATCCAGGGGAGGGGAGACCCACGGAGTGCCCGGCGGTCCCAACTTGTGCTGGAGGCCCCCAAGGTGACTGGGGCCCATGGGCGGGAGCTCCAACATGATGCAGATGGGTGTTTAAAGGACACTCTGGGAGCCCAGGCGTGGCAGAGGCGGTGACCTCCATCCTGCAGGGGACACAGCTCTGGCCGCCACTGTGGAGCAGCTGGGGCCCTGGGACCAAGCTGGCACCACGGCCATGCTCCTGGCCAGACCCGAGTGTCAGGGTGTGCAAGGGAAGCTCCTGGGCAGTGAGGAATTTCTCCACCTGTAACGACCTGGCATCAGTGGGCATGTCTTTGACTCACATCACCGGCCGGGTGTCCTGTTGTCTAGCATCCAGCGGAGAGGTTGTCATTGCCAAGACGAAGCTGTAGTCGCTGCTGTCCCATTCCGTGGCTCCGCACCTGTGATCCTCAGTAGTTTTAGGACATTCATGCATGTTTGCCTCCGGTGCTCATCTCCCTGCTTCCCCAGTGCAGGGCGGAAGTGGATAGAGGTTAAGTGCCTTTCCTGTCCAGGGCCGGGTTGCAGGTAGGCAGCAGAGCTGTCTCTTGATTCTCTGCCTCACACTCTTTCCACCAGACAAAAACCAAGTCTTTGAGGTATGTGGAGTGGCTTTTGGATCCAGGAGTGGAGCAGACTGAAAAGCTTCCTTGATATTTCTCGGATTCCATGTAAAGACACTGACTTTTATATGGGTCCTAACAGCTAGAAATTGTGTAGCAAAGATCTTCCTTTTAAAATGCAGGGCCTTTCTGGATGGATGCACCCAGTCCTGTCATAGGAGGGGTATGCAGAAATCCTGGCATTCCCTCACCCTCGGGGTCACCCTGGTGCTTTGTCCCAGAGGTTTCAGAAGCAAATTTGTTGCATCCTTCCCATCCCATTCCTTTCATGGTTCCTTCTGGATCTTTCCTGAACCATTGAATGGTTGATCCTGGATGGGTATGGAAGGGTTACCTTGGACAGTTGCAAACAGGCCTCCCTGATGCGGTGGAAAATGATTGGTCACCATGGCTGCGCTTGCTAAGCAATCAGAGGTGAGGCCCTGAGGTGCTGACAAACTTCATCAACCCCGGGTTGGCAGAGGTCATTTTGGACTGTTTTCCTTTGCTCTTTCGAAGGAGACCCTTGGATTGTGGATCATTTTATTCTTTCATCAGCTACAGAGCAGCCATCACAGGGGACACACATGTTTGGCTTCTGAGAATAAAACTTAGTTCCTTTCTCTCCCTGCTGAATTCAGGGCTTTAATGTGGAGATAAAACACACCAGCAACTGTGCCTAGGTCCTGGGACATCATGTGTGGATTTCCAGAAGGCAGAGATGTGCTCAGCTCGCAGAGTCAGGGACAGCTAACCTGTTGTAAAACTTAATTTTATATTCTGCAGACTTAGTACATAATGGCTCTTCCCTTGAATGGGATTCTGCAGAAAGCATCCCTTTTGCATTAAATGCTATCTGTTTTCAGCCTAAATACCTGTGCTGGTGATGGAATTAGTCGTGAGATGGGGTTTTGTTTTCACGTAGATTCTGAGAAACAGATGGTGCTACTCTTGATCAGTTAGCTTTTACCTTTGGAAACT